CCTTACGAGGAAAATATTACCACGCCTTTACGAGGAAAACTTTCCTCGTAAATTCGCTACAACCTTACGAGGAAAATGTCTTTACGATGAACGTGTTTCGAGGAAACGCGTTTCCTCGTAAGTTCCTAGTAAAAGGCCATTTACTAGGAACTAACGAGGAAAACCCGTCCTAGTAATGGACGAGTTTTCTTGTAGTGTAATAGGTAAAGAAAAAGAACCCAAAACCTAAAACTGACAGTGTTTTGGTCTTCTCTGTGGATTTGCTATTATTTTAGTACTTTAACACAAAACCTTATGCTTGTGATACATCGACATTACCTAAGTTTCCTCCTAACAATGAAATGGATGCTAAGTACCATGGAGAACTTCAATAAGGGTTTCAATCGATTTTCATAAGATCTGTATAAAGTCTCTGTGATTATGTGTTGAGACCTGGGAAATCGTAATAATTGTTTTGCAGGAGAAAATAAGGTATCAAAGAGCTTACAAATCTAAACAAGTTACCAACCTAACAGGTATGTAATACAACAAGCTATCCTCAACAATATTTATTGTATCAAAGCTACAATTACAAATAGACCAGAACAAACAGATGCTTTAAAACCACGGTTCCTTATAAGTGATTTGGTTCATTGTTTTCGAAGGAAGCCGAGACACAAACCATTTTCCATACACTATCAGAGACATCTGAAGCGACTATATGAAGCGAGTTTCCGTACACAGGTTTATCTCAAACCACGATGCCGGCAAACGGGTTCACCTTTGCTGAGACAAAGAAGAGAAAACATAACAACGCAGCTTCAACGCTCACTTACAATCAGCCTGCGGGATCTGTGAGCATATCATTTGCTAAGATCACTTTTGGCTGACAATGAATGAAGACAAAACGAGCTTTCTTAAACTGCAAGTTTCTCCAGACTCCTCTGACGTGTTTCTGTTCCCTAGCACCAGAAGAAATCAGAAGAATATACATATAGTCAATGAAAGTTAAAGTAACTACATAATACCCTAATCCTATTAATCTCAAACAACTATTAGAATTTTTAGGCCAAGTCAACTATTATAGATGTGCTGTTAAGAGTTCCGCAACTTTTATTTCTTTCCAATAGGTTAGATGAGAATTATTTTTTGAATAAAAATGAAAATCAATCACAAAATTTAAATTAACAAATAAAATAATAGAAAAATAATTGATATAATATCTGAAAATTCAAAATTAAATTTTGAATTTCTAAAAATTGTTTAACTAGAGACAAAAGAATATAAATTATGTCTTACCAATGTAAGAAATCTAAAGATTTTGAAAAAAAAATTAAAAAAATCATAAAATTGGAAAAATTATAACAGTTAAGATTACACAGTTTTTAACAAAAGTATAAAAATTTAAAATTACATGTTACAAGATTAATGTTCATTTTTTAAATGGTAACATTTATTATTTTCATTATAATTTCTATACATATATCATATTTGTTAAACAAGTTGGAAATATTTTTATTTCCATAAGTTAGTTATCTAGCTGCAAAAGTATTTACTTTTATTTAACTTTAGCATTTCATAAATTATCGTACTTGGTTTCTTAAAAGTTTAAGAAATTTTGTTATATTTTAAATAAAAAAAAAATAAATAGATTTTTATTATAAAATAAAATTTAATTAATTAGTAATTAGGAAATTATTATATAAAAATATGTTTTTAGTAATAACAGTCTTTCGTCTAAATCTAACTGATATTTAAAAATTTATAAATTTAGATATATTAATTTTAAAAGATTAATATTCAAGACTAATATTCATTTGTAAAACAGAAATAAATATTATCATTATATACATGTATGTCCCATCATTTAAATATTTAATTTTAATAATTATGATATATGTACATAGATATATTTATTAGAAATGCAAATGAAATATTAGTCATCACTTGTGTAATTAAAATATTAATAAACTGAAATGAGTACAAAGGGTCAGATTTAGTTTGGGATAATTTGTAAATTACTCTGTTAATAGTTTGAAATTTGAAAATTACACCTTCTATTTATTTTTTGAAAAATACATTTTATTTAATATTGAATTGACATTTTTATCCATATTAGAGATTTCAGTAATTAAAATATAACTTCTAAATTAGAAATATTATGATTATTATAATTATTTATGTTTGAGATAAATTTGTGAGTTGAGATAAGTATGTTATTTTATCTTTTTAAATAACAAGGATATTATTAAAATAAAAAGTTATGATTTTATTTTCTTCTCCAAAAACTTCAGCTATATGCAACATAATTTTCCTATAAGAAAAAAGGGACAGAAGCATTTTCAGAATAAAATAGAAGCAGAATTAGAAATTGAAATCTGATTCATGAATTAGCAAATTTCTTAATGAAAAGAGAGGAAAGCGGAAGAATCTGTGAAACTATAGATTTTTTTTTTTTTCAGAAATGGAGGATATAGAGAAGGTTGCTTTCTTTTTTTAAACAATTTTTTTTAATATACCGTTACTTTAAATATAAAATACATTAGGAATTGAGAAATATTCAGATTGGACAATTTAGTAAATTTATATAAACATAACTGTATTTTTTTCAAAAAAAAACTTACACAATGGTGTATTTTTCAAATTAAAATCCTATTGTAGTGTATTTCTCCAAATCTTTCCATTTAGCTTTTTATCATAACCCAATAAAGCAGCATATAAAATTAATGAACTTAGGTACATCTATATTAATTTTGAAATTTATTTTAAGATAGAAATATTTTCTGACTGAACGTTTATAATCCAAACTTATCGCTGAATATTGTATCATATATTATACACAAAACTATTTTTAGAGAAAAATAGAATATCTAATAAATAAAAATTAAAATTGTTCATAATGAATGATAAAATACAATAAATTATCAATATATACATATATATTAAGTAGGTTTTATCCTTTTTATTAGATCATCAAAGCAAGTAATGTACCAAAAATGAATCATAAGCACATTTCTTAAACACAAGTAAACAACCAAGATCTTAGTTTATTATCTATACATCATTTATCTTCAAGTGCATATGCCTCTGATTACATATTAGTTTTAAACATTGAGTTGGTGATAGTTATACTACTAAGCTACTGCGAAGCATTTTTTATTTCAAATAATTTGAAAATAACCTTTTTAAGGGCGAGAAATATTTCAGAATAGAGATTTTGGTCTAAGAGAATGTCATACAAATTTGGATATCAGGTACAAAAAAAAACATTAATAAACATATTCTAGTGTTTAAATAATCGGAATGCAGTAGTTAGACACCTTTTTAAAAACTATTCGTTTGAATGCCTAAACAGACTTTTTAAAAGTTATTCTAGAAAACTGTTTTGTTTAAAACCAATTTTTAGAATACTGTCTTTCAAAAATTAAACTTGCTTGAAAGACAGTCAATACATATTATGATCTTTCAATTCTTTGCAGTTGCACATACTTCAGAAAAATATTTTTATAAGTTTATAAAAAGAAATATTATCAAATGTATGGAAGTTATTTAAAAGATAAATTTAAAAGACCTAATCCGCGCATAGCACGGAGAAAAGATCTATTTTTTCTAAAAAAAGGAACAAAATAATAAAAATTTGTCAAGTTATATTATGCTTTAAAAACAAAAAGATAAAAATAAATAAAATTAGCAGCTGCAAAAAATGAAATTCTTTTTTGACATTGGTAACACCGTCACTAAAACACTAAACCATAAAACTTAAACTCTAAACCCTTGGTTAAATCCTAAACTCCAAATCATAAACACTAAATCCAAAACTCTAAACGGCATGTGCAAAACTCTTGATCCTAGATCCTAACTCCTAGAGTTTAGGATTTAGTCAAGTGTATAAGGTTTATCCAAGGATTCAGGGTTTACCCCAAAGCTTATGATTTATCCAAGAGTTTAGCATTCATTGTTTAGTGTTTAGTGTGGACGGCGTTAATAATGTTAAAAGAATTCTTTTTTTTTTTAGTTTTTTTTCTAGCAACTAATTTTTTATTTTTTTTTATTTTTTATTTTTTTTATTTTAAAAACATAATATGACTTGCCATAATTAATATTATTTTTTCTTCTTTTTCGAATATTAAATATGTGGTGGCAAATTATTATTGGTTGGTGAATCTACAGATTCACTCTAGGAGGTGAGCCCAAAGAAACCTATTTTGGAAGAAATTTCCGTCTAAGCAGTCACCTAAAACAACTTTTTAACATTGATTTTTATTTTGATATCTTATATATTAAAACAGAAGTCATGATTTCACTTCATGTGTGATATTTTAAAATGGACCATCTAATAGAATTTATGACATTATATTATTCAATCATTAATAACATTCATTAGATTCACTAATAGCATTTATTGGGACTAGAAATTTTTATTTGGCTAATAAAAATTAGATGATCCATTGGATTTATAGATATTATAATAAAATACATGTTTAAATTAAACTTATATAATTTAATATTATAATAGTATAAGTTAATTATTTATATATTTTTGATGTTAACTTTAAAAATTATATAGTTTATTTTTAAAAATAACCAAATCATCATTTTCTAATAATAATTAATCTATACTATATAATAATTAATAAATGAAAACAAATACCCCGCGGTTGCGCTGATTGAGATCTAGTTACAATTAAGATTACATTAACGATTTCACAGTTAACAAAACTACATTCTTATGAGAATGTACGTCTAACTGCATCCATAGGCGGATGTAGAAAAGAATTAGGTGTGGAACTTGCTCCCACACTACCTTTTGTATTTTCTTTAATAAATAGCTTACAATTTAATGTCCTTATTGTATCTATATTATTAAAATATGATACACCTGGATTTTTTCCACTAATGGCACCTTGCTTTTAACCTAGCTCTATCTTTCATTATGGGAAATTGGGATTGTGGAAGCACCATAGACTAGTGGTCAAGGTTTAATGATTTCTACATTCATGTATAAGGTTCAAATCTCATGCTACGCAGTTTCTACACCAAGAGATATGGGTTTCAACTCCCGGACAATGAAAATTATGCAGAAAATTGGAGAAAAAGACTTACAAGAGATCTTCAGCATGACACAAAGAGTACCGTCAGGAATAAATCTCATAGGGCGGCTCAAGATGATGCAGTCAGATGTGAATCATCATAAAACATGTAGAATTGTCGACTATAATATCATATTTGTAATGTTACTCGTAGTTTGTAATAACATAATTAACTATACAGAAAGGGAAATCAAGACATTCCAAACCATTCTATTTTTCTCTTTAATACTGCGTTGTTTCCTTAATTTTAGGATTTCATTATTAATTAATTTCGACCAAACAATTAATTTAGGATATTCAGTATTTAATGTTCATTAATAAGAAGATTTGAAAAGATATAACTATTTTGAGAAAATTATGTTAAGTTGTTGTTGTTACCATATACTCCCTCCGTTTCGAATTAGATGTCATTCTAGAGGAAAAAAATTGTTTCAAAATAAGTGTCGTTTTAGAGTTTCGAGGCAAAATTTATTAGATTTATATGATAATTTATTTTTCTATTGGTTAAAAAGTGGTTAGGTGTATTGGTAATTGTGTTTTTATATTGAAAATATGTAAAATTAAATGTTTCCTTAATCTGTGTGCAAAAACCTATAATGACAATTAAACTGAAACGAAGAGAGTATTATTTAATAGATATTTAACAATAATATCTTGGCATTTAAATTAGTTTTTAAAAGCAATAAACTTTAACACCGTACATTATGTTTGCTAAACAAATTGTCATCTTCAACTCATTATATAAATATATTCGCATTTCATTAATCAACACATCTACTTTTCGTTTTCATATGCTTTTAGTGTTCTATTTCTTTTCAACGAATTAGTACTGTTCTAATTTAAACATCATATTTGTGATCTTATGCAGGTCTAACAAAGACTGGGATGATAGATATTTTGTGACTTATATGTGAGAATTTATTTTTGTTAGTTATTCGTTTACCTAATTATTATTTTTTAATTTAATTGTGTTATTATGTTAATTTAAATTGCAGGTTCAATAGTAACCAAATGTACATAGTGATTTGTGCCCGCTTAGATTACAAAGAACAAAAAGAGGTTATAGTGCATACAAGAAAAGAAAAGAAAAAGAAATTGAAAGGATGGAAATGATGTAAGTGATCACATAGTGAAATTAAGTTTTTACCATTGATACTCTGAATTAAATTGTCACCTCCTTGGTAACTATCATGTAATTTCAATTTTTTTTTCATAATTCATGTTTTTTTTTTTTTTGGTATAACATTTTTTCACTTTGATTCGTGCTTTGTGATCTCACATGTTTATCTGGATCAAACCAGGGAAGAGATATGGCCGAAAATAGGTAAATTTTTTATCGGAGTTTTTTATGTTTCTAATCTTTTTGCATCGAATTTTATCATAGCTAACTATAATTCCTTTTTCAATATGTTGTTTCTCTATTTTATCTGTGAGATCTACTTAGATTTGGCATTCAAGTGTATACACTAATGTTCAAAACTACGCTAAGAGTTAGTCGAGCAGTGGATTAGAGCCTAGCGAGTTAATAGAAATTCAAGGATTAATCGTGGATTAGTTTTGAGTATTTTTCTTAACTTTTTTTCATAAAAGTATGTATGAAAATATTGTTTTGAGAGAAAGATACCAAATTGTTAACCTAGAATGGTTGAAACAAAGTATATATTTCTCTTAATTGTTTTTAGAAGATTTTGATGGAATCGCTACGGTTACTCACTGCCAAGCGTTCCAATGCCGTCTAATCGGCCAACTCAGCCATATTTTTGGATAGGGATATACACACATCCAACACTTTCACCAATTAAAACTTGTCACGTGACAAATTGGATCCATCATAAGAAAAATTAAATATGTTGAAAGTTTTCAACTTGTATTAATCAACTTATTTTCTTCGCAAAATCAACACTTTCAATGCATTGTGTTCAACTGTTGAATGAATAATTTAACATGACCCTCAATGAACATGGTCATCTTCTACTATGAACAATGAGGGTGTTGATTTTGGTTTTTTTAGTTGTTTTACTCATACAAAGAACTTGTTAAATTTTGTTAAGATACATGTAAATTATTATTAGTTGAATGTTTTCAACCGTTGAGAAAAAAATGAGGTAGGTCAACACTGCTATGTGTCAAACTATAGGAGGAGTTAGTGTTATATAGAAACCAAATACTAGGTTTTTATTGGTTGGTTAAAATTTTATATTTTCGATCTCCACCAAATTATTCAATCTTTATTATTTTGTGTTAAACATTTTTATACAAATATTATACCAAAATATATAATTTTTGTTATTTATCTATAGAAATTAGTTTCATTTCATTTGAATATAGAAAATTTCATTTTCTTTATAATTTTTTTAATTTTTGTGTTTTATTTTTTGGTACTAAATAGATCTAGTAATAATTTTGAACACTTCAAATTATTCTAAATTTGTTTTAACTACTCAAATATCCAAAATACAAATGTAAAAATAAATTTCTAACAACTTCCATAATTTATGTTTAATAATAATATTTCTATTTTTGTTAAAATAAAAATAAATATTTTAAAATTATTCAAATTAAGTTATTTTAAATTTTAAATAGAATATTATTGTTCACAAAATGTAAATATACTGGTTGGAGAGTTTGTTGAATAGAATATTATTGTTCATAAACTGGTTGGATAGTTTGTTGAATTTTATTAAACAAAACTAGGGCTGGGCATTCGGGGTCCCAATTGGGTTTCGGTTCGGGTTCATTCGGGTTTCGGGTTTCGGGTTTTTGGGTTCATGAATTTCAGCCCCATTCGGATATTATAAAAATTCGGGTCGGATTCGGTTCGGGTTTAATCGGGTTCGGTTCGGATTTAGTACCATGTCCAAAATCCAATTGAACCCGAAATAGTTTCGGTTTCGGATACTTATTGGGTTATCGATTCTAAAAATACTAATTTATACTCAATTAAATTCATTATAATTTTAATCTTTTTATTAAATTGTGTATTTAGCTTCTACAAACCGTATTGTTCTGCTTCTAAATAATATTATGAAACTCATCTATCAACAATATAAGATTTGTCATTGAACTATATGTGACAACACTAAACATATCATGATTAATGATAAACAAAAGTCTTGTATAATCGAAAATCATACATAATGAAACATTAAAATTTAAAATTAACAGCTAACAATTATATAAACGTAAGAAGTAATATTGAAAATTTTAAAAACAACATTATTTAAACTTCAAAACAAATTTATTCGTAACTTAACTTCAAAGGTAGTGTCAATCATAAACATTAGTAACAGCCAAATAACACTATATATTATACTAAATATTTGAGTTAATTATTCATATCATAACTAATTATTATAGGTATTCAATAATATATTAATGTGTTTTGGAAACATATTAGAAATTTAGATTAAGTATGATATAAGTTTTTTTGGAATTTTAAAGTTTCGGGTTCTTTCGGATANACTAATTATTATAGGTATTCAATAATATATTAATGTGTTTTGGAAACATATTAGAAATTTAGATTAAGTATGATATAAGTTTTTTTGGAATTTTAAAGTTTCGGGTTCTTTCGGATATCCATTTAAGTTCGGGTTCGGTTCGGATAAAACCCATAACCCGAAATACCGTAAAACAAGATCCATTCGGTATTTATGTCGGGTTCGGATCGGTTCGGATTCCTTTTTATCGGGTCGGGTTCGGTTCGGATTTTCGGGTTTCGTTTTTTTTGCCCAGCCCTAAACAAAACTATTGTAAAGTGTAAAAAATGAATGGTTGTTGAATCAATAGGTGAAATGATGTGGAGTGTTAAAAGTTGTAATATAGGATTATGAGTATTAATAACCATTGTACAAGATCCTAGGCACTATGTTGAATGGTATAGATAATGACTGATGATATCATTATGAGACAACTACCTCGACTTAAGTATAGATGTTGTACATGTCAAGTCCATTAGTGACAAACACAAACAGAGATTTCACTGAAAGTTCATAGAATGAACACAAACATAATAAGAATCATTTTAAAGATGCATTAATAATTAAATTGATTATATGCAAACATTTCATTTTGCATGCCTAGAGTTATCAGATGGGTTGATTTGCGTCCACCTGGACAGATCCGCATCGGTTCCATCAGTGTTTCAGATCACGTAGGTTTGGCCCGTGACAGGTTGCATCCAAGAATGCTTGTCAAAAATTAGTAAAATTCCTACAACTTTATTATTTAGGCTACAAGAGTTGTAAAATGAAAATGATCAGAAATAATATCAAATCAATAGAATTATAAGTAAAATTTACTAATAAATAATATTTACTTTACTTATAATTACTAAATTTTAAACATAAATTTTTATTTACTTGTGAATAATTTTATAAATTATTCAAATTTTAATAAATTAAATTTCATTTATATATTACATTAAATAAATAGTAAAAATTTGATAGTTTATATTTTTCTCATATATATATATATATATTCTAAATCTTATATATTTAACTTTAAAATTTATACGGCCAAAAATTATAGCTACAACCAACATGACTACATCAAAATTCTTTGCAAAACAATCTACATCAATAAATACAACTACAATCAAATCACGTACAACAAAAATTTTACATCAAAATTTTTACAACTACAGTTCAATCAATCATCCAACATCGACAATGGTCATAACAAGTCAACAAATTTTGTTTACCTTAAAACACTCATATCTTCTGTATCTTCCACATAATTATTCATCTCCCACTTCATTTTTAATCTCTCCAATAATTCTATTTAATAAAATTCAACACTTTATCCCATTGTTTTTAATTTATATTTTTATCTGTTACAATATAATAACTATATTTTAATATATTTAATTGTAATTAACTTAAATAACTTAAATAACACAATGTTTAATAAATTTTATTTTATTTTAATTTATAGTTGTTGGGATTCACTACAAAACATGATTAAATTACATCACATAACTAGTATCAGAAAAATAAATGATTTAAGTTTAATTACTTATTAACAACTGATACAAACTATTTATGTTTAACATCAATTATAAAAATTGATACTGTATTAACAGATTTCACATCACTTCAAGAAAATTGATATGAATATATATTAACTTAAATCACTTATAAAGAAATGATATAAATATGAATTTACATCAATTATATAATTGATACAAATTTTAGTTTTCACTAATATCACTTAGATAAATGATACAACATTAATATAACTTAAATAATAGATGCAAAATTCAGTAATATAATAATATGTAATTTGACATCACTTAAACA